CAAGACAAGCAAAACGGAAAGATGATGTTTGGAAGAATAATATACACTAGACAATACTGCAGATGAAAAGTAAAGTCAGGAAAGGAAATAATTTCTCGTTAATCCAGTCCAGTACCTGAACACACTAGACAAGTCTCAAGAAAGTGAAAGACTTTGTAGTGCTATCTTGTCCCCTCAGATCTGAGAACTCAAATTTTCATTTGTTTGCCTTCAGTGAGGTCCGGGACCTTTGTGCATTTTTGGATGGTTAAATAAGTTGCTTTGTGGATATCTGCTCTGTGTAGTCCATCTTCAGAGAGGTCTGGAAGGTCCTTGGCAGGCTTCCCACAGTATTTTTCACTTCCTGTCTTTACAGTAGCAGGACTGAAGTTGGATCCTACCAACCCTCCCCTCCCTACCCCCCAATCAACATGCTGCCCAAATGTTTCATCATGCATCTAGCCCCTTCTTTAAAGGAACTGACACCTTTGAAGTAGTAATGAACACAATTTTATGTACCAAGAAGAGTGAAGAGTGGGTGCTGACAGAACAGAGTCCTCTGCTAATGCGATGTTGCAGCTTAACCATTTCCATTGCACATTTATTTTGGGAAAGGACATTTCCAATTGCCACTCCCTGGCAGGAGAGACAAGCAGTCAGAATCCCTGATGCAAAAGAGTATTTTGCATAGGAACGTCAGACGGGCTGTGTACACCCTTCAGATTCAGCACACACTGCCACTGCCTTCCAGCCTCTTCCTCCTTTGGCCCGATTGTCAATTGCTTTGGCCTCTGTTCTGCTCCTGCTAGCACACTGGATAACTATAATTACTTCCAGCCCTCAGCAGCTGCCTATCTAGGTTTGAAAACCTGATTGCAAAGTAACATAGGCCAAATATTTTCCCTTTCACCCCTGATATTCTTTCAACAAAATGTGAGGCCCAGAGAAGCCCGAGTCCGGAAGACACACAAGTCAATAGGTTGTTACTATTATCAGCAGAGCAGCAGATGCTACAGGAATTCCAGAGGGAGCTTCCTGTCCAATTATCTCTGGTGCCATGTTTGATTAAGTTTGTTGGTAATATTTGTAAGCTACAGGAGGTCAACCTCGATCAGAGGACTTGCCGTGTATCCTGTTCAGGCGGCTGACCTGGGAAATCATTTAGATTTCACTATAAGAGCCCTGTGATTAGACATTCAGCCATGGCAAACAGCTAGTTCTACATTTTAAGAGATGAAGCCACTCTAGAAATGTAATGCCAATTTTTCATCTTTGCTTTCCCCAGAAAAAAAATATTCTGGTCACCTGGTGGATAATGTTAACTTCCTTGCTCTACTCCAGCATATTTCCCCATCAGAACATTCTTTGCCAAGCCACTGCCCTCATTTCACTCACGGGACATAAGAAGTGAGTTATTAAACAATGGATTGCTCTCTACTGTTGGATTACCCAATGCGTCCCATTTTAAGTGTCTGTAATAAGACATCAAGCCAGCCTTAATTCCATGTATTGTATAGCAATGTATACACTGACAGCATTAAAGAATTAATACAGGAATAAATATCCAGGCCATACCCATTTCAGCCTGGGCTCACAAATCCAGAGGTTTCTGCCTCATTATTGCAAATCTGCCATCCATTACCAACACTCCCCTTTCTGGCTGAGAGTATCACAACTCCCTTTTCCACAGACTAAACACACCATCTCCACAATCTATGGTCTCTACAAACCCTGCAAAAGAGAAAGTTGAATTGGCCAGAGTTCCCAACCTGGCATCTCAAAAAATGTCATCCTTCCTGCCTCAGGTTGACTAGTATTGGCCTTGTAAAGTGGTTAACTCAGTCCAGTTCCTAGACTGCAATGCTTTATAGAAAACTGAACAAAGAAGCTAGTGACTGAATGGATCACATGCATTGGTCATCCTTCTCAACTTTAAAGCTGACCGCTCGAGGAAAGGTTGAGGGACATCATCATGTAACAATGCTCACACCACTGCTCTTGCCCATCTCTATAATAAATAGGAAGATACATAGGAACTCAAATGTTTCTAAATATCCTGGGTTGTTTTTTTTGGTTTTTTTAAATGAGTTAGAAAACATTTTTAAACCTGCCCTATCAAGAGTCAGGTTAGAGCCAGGACTTTCAAAAGGGGGTTAAATGATTCATGTACTCAACACACACTAGCTTTCAGCTGGAGGTAGACACCTCTCAGACTATAATCTCTTAGAGACAGAGTCCACCCTTTTGCTCTGTGCTTCTACAATAGCACAGTGAGGTTCTGACTCACAGCTGAAATACTTAAGTGCTATGGTAATAAAGCACTGTATGATAAAAAAGAGCAGAAGCTCTCTTAGGTCCTCAGGAATTGCCAAGAGTTAAGGTGAAAAGTAAGGTCCCGAATACAATTTATCCACTGACATCCACTTAATAGCTTAAGCAACCTTCATTTTGAATGAAAAGAAGTAAACAATACTTTATTGAAAATAATACAAGCTTTTCTCTATGTTGGAGTAATACTGATGTGATGTTGTTACCATGATGGTCTACAAGCTTTGTTCCATCTGCTACTTAGCTCTGTTTCTCTCACAGAGACCTGAGGATGGGTACTATGAAAGCTTACCTGTGTCTATCCCAACCATGCAGTTGGCCCAATAAAAGATATTACCCTGCAACAGAGAGCCTGGGGCCTGGGGCTCTCTGTCCTTTAAGAAAGAAGCGGCCCAGAGAGGGAGTGCTGCAAGCCAAGCAGGATGCAGCAGCTGCAGAGTGCCATAGCAATCAGGCAATGAAGCCAATTAGCAGGCACCTGCAGGCTGCCCAGGGTAGCCTCCTGACCGGAAAGGGGCAGAACCCTGGGCTTAGGCATATGAGCCCAGGGCCTGAGCTATCAAGTTAGTCCAGCCCTGCAAACCACAGGGGTAGGAGCTCTTCCCCCGAGAGAGCTACCAGGGGATGCTAGACGGACTGCTCTGCTGCCTGCAGATCCCCAGTGAGGCTCAGGGAGCTCACAAGGAGCCCAGAGCCAGGAGCTATGCCAGCATGAGAGATGAGGGAAGGTTTTCCAATTAAAGGGGCAGAGGACTGCTTCTCCTTCTGTGTTAATGGTGGTGGGCCCAGAGGGGACTGTTTATATTACAGCCTGGGGGCTTATTGTTTGAGTTGCAGCTTAGCACTGGCAGTTTGGGTTGTGACTGAGGCAGGGGTGGACAAAATGGCGCATCTGGCCAGTGGCCAGACTCCATTTCCCAGCAGCCCCTGCCTGTGTGGCTGGGGCCAGTTGTTATGGAGCCCCCAGTCGCAGCCACACTGTGATAGTGTGAGGCCGGGGTTTCCATGGAGACCGGCCCCAGCAGCGCTGGCAGGGCATGCAGCAGGGTGCAGAGCTGCTCCACAGCTGGGCTGGGATCTCGTAGCAGTGACAGCATGGTCCAGAGCCAGGGGAGAGCCATGATCTGCAGGCTTCACACCCCAGGCAGGGATGTGCAGGCAGCTGATCACGGCTCTGCCCCAGCTTCTTGCAGCTCAAGGCTCTGCCCTAGCTCTGGATCACACTGTCACCGCCTCAAGTTTCCAGCCCAGCTCTGGAGCAGCTCCCTGCCCTGCCACACATCCTACCAGCAGAGGCAGCACTAGGAGGTTGGGGCAGTGAGGCTATAGCCACCCCAAAATTCCCCATAACCCCCTGTAGCTACCCCTCCCAGAGGTCTCACTGCTGCCCACCCTGTACAGGTGGCAGCAGCTGAGCCCTCCCCACTCCCGCTTGCAGCATAGCCTTCCCTTAATCCCCTCATCAGGAAGATGCTGGCCCCATTACTGCCTGTCAGTGCTGCTGGTGCTGGTCTCTATGGAAACCCCAGCTCCACATTATCACAGCATGGCTGCTGCTGGGGTCTCCATGGAAACCAGCCCTAGCCACATGGCCAGGGGCTGCTAGGAAATAGAGTCCACTGCCGATTGGATCTGGCTGATGGGCCAGACTTTGCTGGCCCCTACTGTAAGGGATGGTATACAGAGGTCCACCCCTAGTGCCCAAGGGGCATGCATTCACCTTGAGCCCTGCCAGGGGCAAGCTCAAGGTCTGAGCAAGAGTTCAGCCTGCAGCGGGGAACAGCATGGGGCCACTGAGCCAGACAGGGGTAAGAGGCCCAGCACATGAGAGGGCTAGACCAGAGCCAGTGCCTCAAACCCCAGTCCAATTCAGTTGACCCAGGCTAGAAGGCCTATCTAGAGGAAAGGGGTGACAGCTGAGGGGACTGAAGTCTCAACAGGAGACAGTGATGATCTAGCAACACCTGCAAGGCTTGGGGCATAGTGTGGGGGTGGAATGGAGCCATGTAATTAGCCCTTAAGGCTATAGGTGCCCTGCAGTGGCACGGTTAAGAGAGGCTCAGCAAGGGGCCTGGAAGTAGTGAGGCCCAGCAAGGGGCCCAGGAGTAGTGTAGCTGCAGCCAGTAAGGTGCCAGGGAACCCCCGTGGGGATACAGCTGGGCTGGGGCCCACGCTAAAGCCTGTGGGCAGCCTCCCTTTTAATCTATTTATTATATCAAGGCATGGCAGGCATGACAGAAGGGAAGGCACCCTAGAGGCAGAGGGAGGCACATTTGTGGAGCCACCAGGGGGCATCACAGTTGCCTCAGGACTCTGACGTGCTACACACCCACAAGACTTCTTGTTTTTTTCTGCATTGGAGCTGTTTTTGCTGCAGCTGCTCTTTCCTTGGGCACATGTTTGTTAGCGATGTGGCCAAATGGTTTTTAAGACAACAGCTTTCAGGATTTGTATTCATAGCTCAGATAAAACATAAGCCAACTGTTTCCTTTAAAGCCTTCTGAGTGGCTTTAAAAGATGCAAACTATTGCCATTATCCATGCATGATGCAATGGTCTAATTCACCTGAAAGCCCAAATGGGCTACATCAAAACCAATTTTAGCTGCAAACCTTCTAGCCCAAAGGAAGAACTGTGTAATTATAATTGTATAACATCTTATTGCTGCAGCATTATGGTAGAAATTGGTCATACCTTTCCATTATTGAGTTCACCAAAGGAGACAATTGTACAAAGGTTCAGTTTGAGCTGATGGCACGTTTCATTGCACTCAAAGTGGTCCACTCTGTCTGGTCCCTCAATGGAATTTTGTTCTCCAGCTGAAACTGTTTCATGCTCTCTGGTAGGGGTGTCCTCTGGTTCTACCGCTTGCTCATTGCCTTTTCCATATTTTAAAAGAGTAGATGTCGAGAGATCCCACATAGCACTGCCCAGGTCTTGAGCATCCAGATTACTCTTGGAAAGATCCTGCACATCATCTGGAACACTACTTGGCTCATAGACATCCTCATCACTGATCAGCCCCAAGGCAACTTCATTATCACTTGGCACTAGAGAATCATCATGATCACTTGGCTCCCAGGCATCCTCTGAAGCACTGCTTAATTCCTGGGCATCCAGGACAGTTTCAGACAAGTCTTTCAAGCATACCTCAATATTTCCCAAATCCTGGGTGTCTACGTTTTTATGGCAAGGATCTTGAACATCTGCTGGAGGGCTGCCCAGGCCCTTAGCATCTAATTTAGCCAGAGGCATAGATGGGCCTTGCATGTTGAGTGAGGTACAACAGTCATCCATAAGTTCAGGCAAGGGGGAGGTAGGTGGAACTGGCCCAAGGTGAGAGAGGGATATTTCAGTAAAACTATTATTCTGACTGCCTGGAGCAGAGCAGCTAACGTCTTGGGATACTTCTGCATTTACATCCAACTGGGGTAGCTCTTTCTGTGTTGAACTTTCAGAATTATGATGATCCCAGACCTCAGCATCTGCAGACCATAAAGGTATTCCTGTTGAAGAGAATTCCCTGGCATTTTCATTCTCAAAAACCAAAGACTCGTTGTGGGAGGAGGCGTCCTGCCTCTGGCTTCTGAAATTTGACTGAGAGCCTTTCTCCTCCTGGGAAAATGGCCTTGAAGAGGCTCGCCACTTTCTAGCAGCATCAGCCATGCTGTTAAAGAACTTTAGGACGCCACCGAAATGACCCGCTTTCATTGAATTGTTTGATTTTTTAGGCTGGCTAAGATTCTGCTCACATCTCATATCAAAGTCAAAATGAGAAGTAGAATTATCAGTTATATTTTCTAAGTTCTGGAAATTGGTTTCAACCCTTTGATCTAGTAGCTTTGAATTATCTCTGCTAGTTAATGAAATTCCTTTCAGATAGTTCCAGACATCAGAGCTTTTTCCTTTTCTGCTTTCCTGTGGGAGCATAAGACACCTCTTTTGATTGTCCCCTTCTGTAATCACAGAACTCTTAAAGTTTTCAAAATTCAGAGACTCGCTCCTTCTAGACCTCATCTTATGGCAGTTATTGTCATTATCTTCACCGTGTATTCTGACACTGATATCCCTGAGCCATTTATTTTCATTGGCATTGATTTCTGGAATGCTGATGTTTAACTCTACGTCTTCAAAAGAAGAATCCAAATCCTCAATGTACCCTGCATATGAATGACGGAAAGGCCTCTGACTGTCAGACAGTTTCTTAGTCCTGTAGATTGCTCTTTGCCCATTGTCTAGTTGGTCCTCTTCAGGAATGCAGGCAACCTTTGCTTTGGATGCTCTCAAATCCACATTCTTAGACATACTGGAAGATCTCAGTTTTTTAAAGGACCTAACCCTCTCCATAAAAGACAGCTTGTGTTTTTCCTCTAAGGTCTCTGAGGTATCTCCTAACAAGATCATGGACTGGGGCCTTTTGTTATGCATGGAGGAACCTTTTTTTCGACTAACAAAATTCCATATCCGGCTGCCCTTGGTTTTCTTTTTATACCTGGCTGCCTCTTCCTTTTCATTTTGGTTGCTGCCACTAAAGTTGCATGGCTCAATATCACAAATCTTTAATACTTCAGTGCTCCTCTCTGGATTTGCTTGAAAAACCTTTTTCATGTATCCATTGGACACCAGCTGAGGGTGAGAATGCCGGCAGCCCTCTACAATTTCCATAGTTCCAATTAGAAAGATGGTGTTGACTGTCACAGCACCATTGTCTTCAGATGAGTTTCTTCATGGGGCTTAAGGAAAGAGAATAAAAGAATACAATTAGCAACACTAATGCATTTTTAAAAATACATTTCTAAAAGCATCTGTGGCAAATCCTAGTTCTACTGACGTCAACAGAGATTTTCTCATTGATTTCAACAAGGTTGTTATTGCCACAAACGTACAAAATTTAAAGAAGCTTAAACATTGATTGAATTGACTGAAAATGGGCTTCTATACATTAATAGAAGCCATCACAAAAAAGATATTTAGCTTAATATACATCACTTCCTTATCTGGTGGTTCAACCTGACACCAAAGATGCAAGAATGCATATGTGGGGGCAGAGGGGTAGATTGAAATTTCGGAAAAATTCTCCTTAAGGGCATATCCCTTATAGAATCATCATTGAGAAGTAGGGCTGGAAGGGATCTCCATAAGTCACCTAGTCCAACACCCTCCCTGAGGCAGGATCATCCCTATCTAAATCATCCTATATAAATCCATAATTTAACCTCTTAGTAAAACTACACAGTCAACCATGACACAAACACAAGGCATAACACCTTAACCTGCCACAGGTAATGCCAGCAGACCATGACAGCCAATGTCCTGCTTCTATAAAAGTCATTGATATATGCTTAAGAAATCGCAAGTAGAGAGCCATGCCCCCCACTAAGGATGGCAAAACCCCCCACAATCCATACCAATCTGATCATGGGGTAAAATTCCTTCCAGCCCCCAACTATGGAGATGGGTCTGACCCTAAGAGGAGGGGCAAGACCCTCTATAGACAGGAACCTCCAGCTTTAAGATCCAACACGAGCACTGGCACACCTCAGCCCAAATCACCAGTTTGGCTGCAGTCAACACCCAGTACCTCTGAGGAAGACTTAAAAAAAACCCCGGGAGCGGGGGCATTGAATTATATCCTTGCTGGACCTTATTTGTCAAGAAGCAACAGGGTATTGCCCATGAAGAAATCAAAATCTCTACTGGACAGCGTTCCAAGAAACTGTGCATTGTTCCCTTACCTGGTAGAATACCGATAACTGATGGTATGCCTAATTCACCTCTAGATCTTAATACCACAGTGTATGAGCAGCATCAGGGACTTAGCATACAAAGGAGCGTGCCAAATGCAGACTCCATAGCCACCACTGTAATGCATCCCAATGTACATAGGTTTATTTGAACTGAGATCAAAACACCAACATCCATGGTGGGAACACAGCACAGAAAGAAATCAGTGTCAGCAGCTCAGGTCACCTTCTGGGCATATGGTAGAATCTTTTTCATACATAGAGGGTGTGTCTACATGTGCATATTTACTGTGCAGTAACATAAATTACTGCGCAGTACAGATGCGTGTCTACATGTGTGTGCCCTCACTGCGCAGCGACTATAGAAACTTACGCCAACTTGGGCTTAATTTCCAATACCTGCATGACGCAGGTATCAAATTTATGCCCAATTAGTTACTGTGCAGTAACACACGTGTAGATGCCTTGCTGCACAGTAATGTGGGAGCTTCCTGGCTGATCTGCCCAGCAACTAAGGAGCCAGCCAGAGCTCAGCCCCAGGGCTCCTGCCTGGCCCCCTCTCCTGCTGCTGGGCTGGGCTGTTCTCTGGCAGTCCCTAGCTGCAGGGTATAAAAGCCTGCAGCCATTATATGCCTTGGGGCACACATTCTAGGTTGCCAGCAGGAGCTGCTTGTGGCTGCAGCACCCCAGCAGACCCTCGTGTGCCCCCCTGGACATCCTGCAGGCTGCATTTGCTGGGTCTGTCTCTCTCCAGAGCTGCTGCTGGGCCACAGGCGAGTGCTGCAAAGGGCTGCAGTTTGCCGCACCCCTTGCCCAGCCCTGTGCTGCTGGCTGTGCCACCAGGGCCACCATGTGCTCCACACTGCTGCTCACCCTCCACCTCTCTCTCTCTTTGCAAGACTGTGGTGAAGTGCCTTGGCCGCAACTCCCTAGCCATGCCCCTGTCAGGGGTGCTGCTCCCAGCCTTCCAGGGCCAGCATCACAGGACCAGCTGTGCAGGAGCCCAGTCAGCTGACATAGGGCTGGACATCCTCCTTCTTTCCCATGTCCAGCCCCAGCCCTGTCCACGTGCACCTATCTGTCTGAAGCCACGGGGGTGTGGACTGGACCTGGAAGGAGGTGCACTGTGGGGCAAGGAGGATGTCCTGAGGCAGTTCACCCACAGCAGATGCTCGACCACCCACAGTTATGAGGCCCTGATGGCTGGGACGCATGCACATGGCTGCTCCTGGTTGGTGCAGCAGTGCCATGTGAAAGCAAAGGACCTGTGGATGGCTGTGACTGGCCACAATCATCAGTCTGGTGGGGACCCCAGGACCATACCCTTCATGCAGCAGCTGACCTGCATTCTGGTGCCCTGGGAGCCTGTGCCTGCACCCTGGCACCTCCAGTGACATGTCACCAGCAGAGGGGACCATGGGCCTTCAGTGCCCTGCCCTGAACTCCTTCCTGGCTTCTGCACCCACTGGCAGCCTGGGGAGCCCTGGCCAGTAGCTGCCTTGGCCTCAGCCGTGCCCTGCAGCCACCCACGAGAAGTGGCCAGCCATACCACCGCTGGCTGCTAGCAGCACTAGCTCCTCCCCAGGGGGACCCCTGGCTGGCCACTGGCCCCCAGCCACCGGAAGCCACAGAGACCGGGCATAGCCAGATCCTGTCTGGCACAGGAAGCCCTGCGCTGACCTGCCAGCCTTGCTGACCCCGGACCCATGGTAAGTCCCACACTGGGGGGCAGGGAAGGCCCTCCCAGACCCAGTCCCCAACCCCACCACTGCCCCTGCACCTGTCCCCAGCCCCTCCTCCTTGCCCAGCCTGCCAGCAGTACCCTGGCCCCAGGTTCCTCCTCACAGCATGCAGAGAGGCAGGACACAGGTCAGAACTTTATTAAGCAGCCTGAGTCCCCACAGCTGAGTGGGCACGGGCCTCTCTCATGCCAAGGAAGGCATTGACCCTCACAGCAAACTCCTCCTTGGCAGCCGGGGGTAGGAATGTGTAGCACTGCAACAGATAGCCCTCCAGGCAGCAACGGGGATTACAAAGCAGGCTGGACTTGCCCCCCACACACTGTCGTAGCTCAGGGTCCTGATCCAGGAGTGCAGGTGTGCCTGAGGCATCAGCAGGATCAGCAGAAGCAGGCGTAGTGGCCCAGGCAGCCTTCTGCCTACACAAACAGCCCATTGTGCACCGCCTGCAGCACATGCATCAGGGGCACACTCAGGGCACAGTGGCAGTGTGGTGGAGGGCCAGCAGCCTGTCCTGGGCTCCCCTGAGAAGTGGGCAGGGGAGGCAGGTGGTCTGCAGCCAGCCTCCAGGGAACAAGGTGGGGCAGAGGCTCAGGCAGCACCAACCTGAGCCCAGGCCTGCCCGATCAGCTTACCATGGTCCCTGGGCACCCACACATGGCTCACCTCCAATCTGAGGCCAGACCATGCAGGGCCCCTGCAGCAGATCATCTCATCTCTCAAATGTTGCAAATGCTCACAAAAGCCTTCTGTCTCTTGCCTTTGCAGGGCCAACATCTGCATGGGGGGAAGAGGCCACAGGCGCCTGCAGAACCACTGCCATCTGCTGCTGGAGCCACCCGGAGGCACCAGCGGTACAGCCAGGATCGGACCCGCCCGCTCCAGCAGCTGATGATCACAGTGGAGGTCTGGGTGTCGGACTAGCAGGTGGAGGACCTCACCCAGGAGGAGGTGCAGCTATGGGTATGCCATACCTACTGAGCCGAGCTGGTTGCTCTAGAGTGGCAGCATGTAGAGCTGGTAGAGCAGCACCTCACCTCCCAGAGTAAGCTGTACCATGCCCCCCCAGACCTGCCCCCCACCCTGGCCCCACAGGGCCCCTGGGTACCACCCACCACCCCACAGCAGGCCCTCGGTAGCACCCTGGAACAGGTCCTGCAGCACCTGCTGGCCATAGGCATCCCCCAGCTTCACCACAGCCCCCAGACCCATGGGGGAACTGTCTGCAGCCGGGGTGGCGGCTGG